GTCAAGATTGCCAGAGGCGGTGTTCCTTGCTCGTGGGGAAATCGGACATGCGCATGAGGATACGTCTAGCCACCTTTACGTTTCGCGAGGTGATGCTCGCATACTAATCGAGAAGGGATGGGCTGAGCGACATCGACTGGCTGTCCCAAGACACTACTTGGTGAAAAACATTTTGGGTGTTGCAGATACTTACTTAATTATCTACGCACCCCGGGACGAGACCGAAATGGTTGCTTTAGAAGTAATGCTAAGGCGCAGTATCACCTTTATGACAGGGCAGGAAATCGATCCGATCGAGTGGAAGGTTGTCATATAGGTCATGTGAGCTAGCACTTTGTTGAGTAATGTCCACACACGTATTGGATCTCTTCCATTGAGCAGGGGACAACTCTAATATGCAATGGAATGTTGTTTACTTTAAATACTTCATATCTTTTTACTGATTGCCGGCCGCCTTGTCGGTCACCAAATGCGGTATTCACGCAATGTATAACCACGGCTAACTGTATTATGATCTGCTTTAGGTTGTGCTTCTCGGTTTGGAAATTATGGTCAACGTTTCCCTGTCTCATTCTACTTTCTCAGTCGTTGTTTGGTGATAGCCTTGTGAGAAATTGAAAGTATAATCCCATTTTCATATCTATGAATGCAAATGTTTGAGCTAAGCATGACTCTGTTGTCTGGGAATAGGTAAATATTCAACTGCTTTAAAGTTTCCAACCGCATGAATTCACTAGCTGTGAGGCAAACGCCGCTTAGTGACTTTTGGTCGTGTATCGTTGATCCAACCCAAATCCATACTTTCTTCCATAGATGAAATTAAAAACCCATATAATCATGTTGATACGCAGGACGCTGGCTATTCGCCTGACCGACCATGCTAGCGGTCGCCCTGACTTGATAGAACTTTCCCGCAACTCTAAGAGCTTCTTAGGGTTGTCCGTTACCACTCCATCAAGTTCCCTCCTTACACACAAGTCCAAACCTATTTCATTATCGACAGACCAGGAAAGAATTGGGCGCTGTGCAGCACGAGCGTCTCTAATAAAACTCCTACCTAGAGGCGAAACGAGGGTTTCTTGAAGCATGATGTACCCAATGTTTTCAATCGCTAGGAATTGACTCGAATATGGGACGGAGAATCCAATATGGACCACTGGGTAGCCGGGAAAGTAGGCCTCGCACAGAGAAAAATAGTTCGCCTGTGGTTTCTCCCGTCAGCTGCAGCGATGACAGGCCTTTAAATGTAAAACATACTGCCCAGCAACCTAGCACGACTCGATCTTCCCACAATGTGTCAAAAGGAGCGGAGACTTCTTCAAAAACCTTCGCTGTACAACGCATGATGTCATTGGCATTGTTGTCGAGCTGTAGTGTATCAGACCTGAGTTATACTTAGTGCGGAGTGTGGTACCTTGATATCCAGCAAAAGCCAGATATGAGCCAATTTTGGCTGAGCGAGATAGTTCACAAGATCCAATAGCCTAGGCATAGGCTCGTGAGGTTCCCGCAGCGTCCTCAATCCGCTGATATATTCCCAGTCACAGTCAGCGATTTTTCTGTCCACCCCAAAACATCTCTTCAAGGTGGCGTCCTGCCCGACTATCAGCCTCAACCGGACTTCTGTGAGGGCATAGTAGAATTTACGTGTGATAGAACGACAACACCATCGCTTGTCAAGTGGACGTCAGTCTCCAATGCGTCCGAACCCACCTCGACAGCGTTCCTGAAAGCACACATAGTGTTTTCAGGGAACTTTACATTGTAGCCTCGATGGGCAATAACCTGAGGGACATCTGTACCAGTTCTGTTACGTCTGGCTCGGATGCAATGGTCTGTCGAATGTTATCAGAAAGGCCCGAGGGCTGGTACGGCTTGGGGAGTGGTTCTTGCGCTGCGGAAAGGATTGAACAAGTGCACAGTCCGATTTTTCCGCCAATTTGTTCATAAAACCTTTGCTCAACAGTGGCGGCGCGCCCATCCTTGCCAACAATCCCATGAAAATGTCCATATCCCTGAGTGCCGTATCGGTTCGAAGAAGCTAATTGGAATTGCATCTTTACATGCTCTCGGCGTAGGAGGGAAGACTAGATAAAGTAGACATAGCCTCCAACCTCTACTACTGCCCGGGTGGATTCGGAAGATTGACTTACGCGTCTTCTCAGTCTCCTAGTAGCTGAGTCGTACGGAGTATAACAAGACGACCTTGAGCATTCTGTGGGGCAGGATGTCTTATTACTCCGCAAATGGGGTGTGATTGTCATTTTTCATTTCTAATTCACGTACTCCGTAGCGACGTTGCCATTTTTCTCAGGCGTCCAAACCTTGTGGAGACTCTGATGTGACTAAAACTAGGCCAAAGTGATAACCAACTCGGAGATGCACGCACCGAGAAATATGTCTCAGGTCTTCAGGAAACCTTCTCGCACCGATTCAGGGTAAAGGAGGCCTGCTACTAAATCTCGCACATTATGTATTGCGTCAGAGTTCTCCACCATAGATAAATCTAGTCGACTGCCCAAACATTTTGTGTAGTAAATGGAATAGATGAAAAGCAAAAAATGAGATATTGACGGCGCTGATAATTTCTATCCTATTTCTCAGCGTATTCCAGAAAACTGGCCAGTAACTCATACCGATAGAACCCGACAATGAGTAGCACCTCCTCCAAATTCACTCTGAAATAGGAATTTCCAATGTTCCCTGCATGGTTTGCACACCGCAACCACTCAACAGAATGTCGTCGATCTCCTGTATTTGACCTGTGGAGCTCTCCTTGACGCCGATCTCGACGAAGATTTCGCTCTTCTGACCCATCTCCACGCCTTGGGTGAGTTTGTACCTGTAGCGACCTGCTTTCCCAGTTTGGAGGGAGACATAGGACGTTAAGGCGCTCGCGGCGCTGCCTGTTGCGGGATCTTCGCGCGACCCCAGACTCCTGACACGCAGGTAATTGATTCCACCATCCGTGACACCGAGGTTGACGTAAAAGTAGGTGACCACGATGCCCTCGCGCCAGCCGTGGTCGAGTTTGGCTGTTGCGGTAGAAGTGTTATCCCGCCCTACCAGGTTCTGAGTTTGTGCTGCCAATACATCCAAATCGGGCAGGTGGACGAGAATAAAAGTCATCCCCTTGACAATGCTGACCACTGGAAAGTGACCAAAAGGCTGGTCGGCAAACGGAGAACCGTGAATATGTAGGTTGTGAGCGACCGAGATTTGTACGCCACCAACCGAGGGATTGATTGTCCACGGGAGTCGCCCTGCTTTAGTCTGTAAAGCTTGGATATCATCCAGCGAATCGTTCTTCAACTGGCGCAGGATGTAATTGGCCGTGCCGACTGTCGGATGGCCGGCAAACGGCACTTCTGCATAGGAGGTGAAGATGTCGATGCGGACAGAGTGGTCGGCGCGGTCTTTGGCCGTCTGTTCGTGCAAGAACACCGACTCGGAGAGGTTGAACTCGCGGGCGATCTCCTGTTTCTGATCCTGAGTCAGTGCGACGATTGAGGGTACTTTGATGATTGCCAAAGGGTTTCCTCTGTACCGTGTAGGCGTAAAGACGTCGAGTGTCACGAAAGAAAGCTGGGTGGACATTTTGCTTGCTTAATATATAGTGTGCTTTCTCTTTTGAAAGCCAAACTTTGGAACAATGGGGAGACAGAGAGCAGACTATAGGGTCAATTAGATTTAGAAGATGAAGTAATGTACCTACTGTTGAAGACTAATCAACCCCTACGGCATGAGTCACTCTATTCTGATCTTAGCATGATTTTCTGCGTCTTCGAAACTCGGACGGTGGAGAAGCATTGATATTGCGATGGCTCGGGAGTGCTGTTGTTCGCAAGCGCTCGATGGTGGCGGGAAGAAAATAGTCACACGATTATGGAAAGAAAGTCTAGTTCTATTCAGCAGCCGAGGATCAGAATCAAGAAGAGGGGCTGAGTTTTTCAGGGCCATTAAGTTACACGTCGCCACGTAAGCTTAACGAAGCGACCAACCACGAAGTAGAGAGCCTTATTATGAGGAGGCGCAGTGAACGCCTATCCTTCTTGGGTAAGGACCACGTCGGTTAATGCCGCCCAAGTCAATGTTCCCAGGAGTCCGACCACCATGTCCAGATTGCCTCCTCGAGACTTGACAAAATTTGACAAGATTTCCTCTTTGGGCTAATGGGTGTGGACCTTTTGCACTTTTTACACCAGTCGTTGTGAGTTTTTCCCTACGGACTACGGATTTCGTTTGATGCATTGCCTGTTCTAGACGTCCATACGGTATTAAGTTACGGGTTTAGTTCGCTCCTGACTGGACGTCTACGGAGTAGAATGAAGTAGACTGACGACAGTAAAAACGTTGCTGATTTGTCATTTTTGTAACCGTACGGATCATTCCGTAAAAGTCACAGCGTCTAGTACATTGTAAGTGTAAATAGTTAATCAGTAATATATAAATGAGGCAAGAACCAGACCACTGCGTTGCTTTTTCAAAGTCATATTTCCACTTGTCCAAATATCTGTGGCGTTTGCTTAGCTGTATCCATTAAAATGGCACCACTCAATATTGGCATTCTTGTCTATGACTATCAAGCCATCGACATCATCGGTCCCACCGATTTGCTGAACTCGTCAAGCAAAGCTTTGGCCGAAAGACTACGCACCTTTATCCCAGTCGACGATGAAGTAATTGAACAAGCTCCAGATTTCATTTTCCACCATATTGGGCTGACCCGTGAGCCTATTCGACTTTTGACCAGCGCCCTCACCATAGTCCCAAGCACGACTGTTAATGAATGCCCCGAACTTGATTTTCTCCTTGTTGGCGGACCTGCACCTGTCAGATTTCAACTCGCAGAAGAATACGCAGATTTCATCCGTCGTCATGTTGCCTCGGGCAAACTCACTTTTTCTACCTGCACCGGTGCAGCAGTTTTAGCAGCCGCCGGCGTGCTCGATGGCAAATCAGCAACTATCAACAATATCGAATATGATTGGGTCAAAAAGAGATATCCACTAGTTAAATGGACGAAAGAACGAAAATGGATTATAGATGGAAACATTTGGACCGCAGGCGGAGCAGTCGCTGGGATGGATATGTTTTCTCACTGGTTGAAGGAGAATTATGGCCTAAGTGTGCTCACAAACGGTGCCTTAGGTCTAGACTATGAGCCCCGTGATTATGATGGCCTGTTTACTGTTCTACCGAAAAGATATGACGATGAAGGCGAGCAAATTTGTACACATCACGTCCCACTGTATACCTAACTGGTAACTGGCGCTAGAAACCTTGAATTCAGGAAAGAATATTCAAGATTAAGTCTTCCTATAGCGGGGGACCCCTTCGGGGAGAGCTATAGAGCAATCAACGCTCGAACACAGTATCTAGTCTCCGATGAAGGGCCATATTAATGTTCCTGAATGCCTGGGCATATCGAGAACCGTGAAGTGGTTGTCGCGCCTGTGTCTAACCTTTTTCTACAGCGAACCACAATCTTCCTCATTTCATCGATGGACCCATCTGGATGGGCTTCATCGGCTCAGGCGATAGCCTTCAGCTCCTGGGCTCTCTGCTTATCGGCGATCCAGAACATTGGATGATTGGTCTTGACGAGTTCAAAATACCTAGGGTTGTAGGATTTCCTAAGATCGAGACGGGAAGCATCGTAGACACCACGCTGGGTCCTATAGGTGGATTTCTAGGCTGAAAGCTTTAACGGGTCTAGGACAGCAACATCCTGCATGCCGAGAGATTCATATAAATACTCTTTCCCCCGGTGAGCCACTGATCGATCTTCAAAGTCCGGGGAGGGCGGGCTAGTCTTGCTTGTAGGTGTACCGACGAAATCAATGTAGTTTTCGAATCCTCCCGGGGTCTGCAGGTAAAGACAAGCCGCTGTGTCACTGTCTGTTCGGATGCTATGGACGGTCGCCCGGGGAATCCACACAAGGGCCCCTTCCTTGGCTGTTTGGGAACAGTCGCTCAAGAAAAAGGACATATTGCCGGAGAGGACGAAAACCATCACGTCTCTTTTGGTAAAGACCCGAGGTCCATGGAGAGCGCCCCTACGGAGCTTTAACTCGAATAAAGAATAGCTGGCCCCAGTCTCTTGGCTCGACGCCAAACGGCCCCAGAGCGCGTTACCATGAAAGACGTTGTGCCGCCTGGCATCACTGATATTGGCCGCAAATGGAAAGACGGTCGCACCAGGGGTCGGCTCGGTTGACATGTAATCCGGGTTGGGCGGATCAACCAATGGGTCACTAAACTTGTTCCTGACTCCGTAGTCGTCGTTCAATTTGGACGTCACCCATCGCGGGGGAAGCCACTCGTGAATGAGGTTAGGAGGAGGGGGTTCTCGGCGCTCGGCGGGCCGAGCAGTCCCCATTAAGAGCATCTCAAAACCGGCGGGGAGGTAGAAGTTCAGAAGTCGAGAATTGGGTTCTTCCACCTTGAAAGAGTGTTCGGTGAGACCAGGTACAGCCACGAAGGTGCCTGCGCGGGCGACAATTCCCGATTTGCCCCCTGCGTTGAACGTCACCTTTCCCTCCACGACGTAGAGACCCTCGTCTTGAACGTGAGTGTGAGTTGTAGGTCCGGCTCCCGACAGCTGAAGAACTTGGTCGATCAAGACCAATTTTCCACCGGTCAGGGCGCCAGTCGCCATCATTTGCCAGAGGATGCCGATCTGCCAGAAAGCGGCTGATTCGGAGCCATGGGTGATGAAAGGCTTAGAGACGGACATGGTAGCTTCTTCTGGTCGTGTTAGTGCGGCACTCTGCACAATTCGATTCATTCATCCAGACAGGACAGTATTTGAAGTATTCCTGACCAGTTTCTCGGAGTCGCGTTTGTCCGATATGTCGGATACATCTTCTCGGCCATACATTCATCCGTCATTTCGGAAAGTTTTTGCCTTACATCTCACTTCCGACGGATGGAACTCCACAGGCTGACCACGGTACGATGTGCATTGACAAGACCCTAATTCAACCCCCACAATTACACTTACCGAGCTTTACAGAGCGGTGTCCTACCATTTGAAGGTCGTGAGATTGCTACGGTACAGAAGGAGCTCTCGCATGGGCGATGATGTCTTTGGGGTTTATGGTCGCCTTAAGTTAGCGGCATGGATGGGCTACGCTGTTCCGGGAAATATAATGGGCGAGCAATGCTGTTGCCCCGGCCGAAAGTAGAAAATGTAGCACATCTAATCCGCTATAGCAGCACCGCAACAAAGAAGCAGCAAAGCTTTACTGGATCTGTGTGACATGACTGAAACATTGACACGGTTCTAAGGGATCGCCAAGACACAAAAGATATATGCGTATTTCCACAGGGATAAGGATTAGTTGGTGGAGGCAGAGAAGCGCTTCGGTACAAGGTGGGGATAAACCTTTTCGAAGTAATTTATTACCTGGGAGCCTAACTATAGGGAGATATGTCCCTTTTAGAGAAGCCACTGTTGCTGATGTTGTGCATGTTAGTATAACTATATGTTTCCGTTGTCCGCGAGAATATCAGGTGTTTTCATGGCTTATTTAACATTCTGGTGTATCCAGCAGACGAGCGATTCTAATATCTAGAAGAACAAAGACCAAAAGTATGAAGATTACACTCTAATAGGTACTTCGTAGGCAAGCAGGATGTGAAGACCAGACGTCGTCGATGGAGAAGGAGTAATCGGCCCAGAATATCACGGGGAGTCCAATGTAGCGATGCTGATTCTCTTAGGCTTCTTGCCAGAAGCAGTAAGTTGGCTTAGAAAGGAAAGAAGTCGCCTAGGTATGTAAAGTGATTCAATTGGGCTAAGTCGAGGATTTCTCCAAGATTATGGTGGCCACGGTGGGACGGAAGATTTTTCACGCCGAATATACAGAGTACTAAGATAAACCGAGGTCTCGTGTCTCACCCTTAAGAGCTAACCCTTCAGAAGTGAGTGGACGAGGGGTTTAATTGTCTGATGGGTAAATGCCCCCTCTACTTCTATACTATTCCTTTTTACTTTGTGACTAAGAATGATGCAGTAGAGGAGACCTTAGTAGAGCAGCACTAATATATACTACATCCACCTTCTCACTTCAAAATCAAAAACTACAGCGTAGGACTAAATATGAAGTCGTTAGGAAGGGTGTCGTGTCGCAGGGCTGGTCACGAGTGTACGAGTGCTTCAAGCAGAGCCTATTAATGGATTAACAATCACGACCTCGACAGCGTTGCTCATCTCGCTTTTGCAAGCTGCTCTTCCATAGCAAACGTTGAATCGACAAATGATGAGCTGCACCACCACCGTCACTATTATCTCGCTTTTTTCAGCGCGTTGTAGCTATGGCCGATTACTTAACCACAGGCTTCGTCACGTACAAGGCTTCCAACGTTGTTCTTTGTAACCTCCACACTTCCAAGCTACAACGTTATCTTCATCCCCGTTCTCACCCACACCGTTCTCGTCGTGTGTTGGCCAGCGAGAACGATGACTTGTGGTAACAGCGATGCTGATACTGTCTTTCCTGTTGTCTGGGCTCTAGTGACTGGCGCCGGTTCAGGCATTGGCCTGACATGGGTCTACGAGCTGGCCGCGCACAACTTCGGAGTTATCCTTCCCGGACGCTCTATAAGCTGTCCGTGAGAAAGGGTGGGTCGATAGAACATATAAAGGGTGCCTCATCAAAATTATATCTTTGAGACGTTGGAGGCCACTCTTCTAGTCAAGTTCGGATTAGCGAGAAATGTGGAAATCTTTCCCTCCATTGTTGCGGTTCTGCATAGTTCTCCTACGTCCTTAAGAATGGTGGAGGAGAGTTAGAAGCTGAATTGAGGAGCCATGGCGGTCGTTCTGATGCAAGACGGCATATTTGAGCGGCCATGATCAGCAGTGTCAGGCGTCCTATACTCCACGGCATCCGATTTAAATCTATTTCAGAGAATCACTGCTGGTGTCACATGTGTGCCTCGATCGGCTGCTGCATCCCGCTCTCTATGCGCCGAATGGACCATCAAGCAAAATAAATTTTAAATTCCATCCCTGCGCCTGTTAAGTCCGTCATGTCTATTAAGACCACCGCACAGAGGGAAACATTTCATATCACCGCACAGATAAGGTTCGGCCTTAAACTTCCTCAATTGGAAACCATAAGCCCTAAAACCGAACAAACACCGGCTTGTCGATCAAATGTATAAGTAAGATGAAGAGCTCTGGGCGCAATCTGCGATTAGGACTTGATTTTATGGTGAAAACTCCATCCGACGACAGCGACACAGACCGGTATAGCTCCAACTCTTACGGCTTGATGATAAAGCCTGCAGTAATGACGCGAACCCTTCTTACCGGCGGAAGTGGCTTCATTGCCGCTCATATTCTCGATGTACTGCTCAAACGCGGACATTCTGTCGTGACAACCGTCCGCTCGCGGCAAAAGGCAGAGCAGATAGAAGCATCCCACCCAGGTGTCTCGAAGGAAAATCTGGATTTTGTGACTGTGCCTGATATTTCTGCGCCTGATGGTAGCTATACTCACCCATTTTGGTCAATTTTTCGGATTTAAGCGAACCACGTGAACTAACTGTTGAAATATATATGATACTCAGCCTTCGACCAGAACGACAATGGCCGGTACCTACACTTTTCTGGTCAGAACCATCAGTGCCTGCATACTTACGGAAAGACCACATACTATGTATAGTTTGACTAGAACAAACGCTCCGATCTATGGAAAACTCCCATCAAGCGTTTTTGGCTGGTATTGTCCCACTGAGCCACCTCTCCATAGCTCCGGAGAGTAGACAGTTCCACATCTTCATATTACCCCTGCATTAGGTTTGATTATTACAAAAGGGTCTAAAGCCGGGGACGCAGCCCTGAAGTTTACTCTGCGCAAAGGAAACAGGGCTGTTGATACCAACACCAACAAATTCATATACATATCATATAGGGAGCGTGTAGCCAGAAGGTTTCAAAAATGATAGGTTAACGTCTCGCGGCTCTTCGTCGCCCCCAAGAAGGTTCTAACGATTAACTCCAATGCATTCTTATAGCAAGCTGGATATTACTCATATTTGAAATGCTATCTTCTTCGTCTTCGACTTTATTTGACAAATGTCTTAAGACTGTTCACCGTGTCGATAATGCACTCCTTCAATGGTCGATAGGTGACGCCCAAAACCTTCTTGGACTTGGTACTATCATATCCATACCATCCCTCGGGCGGAAACGCACCAGGTGTCAATGCGTCTCCCATCGGCAAACCTTCCCGGAGTTCAGGGAATGCTTCCCAGATACCTTTCACAATGTCCTTGTTGGAATAGTGTCCTGGAGAAACCAAGAACCGCTGGCCAGCTGCCTCTGGTTTCTCCATTGCCAGAACGTGCGCCAATGCCAGATCACGAACGTCCACCCATAGGAATACTCCAGTCAATGGGCAGCCATGCTTTGCTTTACCAAAGGCAATGTCCCTAATGCGCTCGTTGGAAGTATTCAGTCCATCAAGGTCATTGATATGATGAACTACCGGACCGTAGACCATGGGTGGGTTTATCTGATAAGCAAAATGTGTGAGCTAAGAGCTCTTGAACCTTTTTGACAGTGTCATGGCTTTTTTCGTCTAACTCACACTTGCAAGAGAATATTGGGGCTTCTCCCTTTCCACAAAGTCCCATGCAGCTCTCTCCTATTCAATACGGGAGTGATCAGCGTGGCGGTAAAACCCACCTTCAAATGAGTAAGCCTAAGGAAGTATGTAGGATACTAGAGACCCTCTTATGTACTCCCACGGTCCTGGCATCATCCCGGAGCATTCCATGCAGGAGCGTTTGGGATTGCGGCTACTCTATTCTTCTCGGGTACGGTACGGAATGGCCTGGACATTCTCAGCCTAGGTGTTCGAGAGTCAAATCCGTCGTCTACCAGATATCGGTCCGGATGTCACCTGCTAGTCTGGAGTCTGGCTGCTCTTCGCTCCTTTAACGCCGTGGTTGCGGGAGTGAGTGTGCCGTTCACTGATTTAAGGCTCATAGACCTCACGTCGCTAAACCCCATCAACTCTTCTCCTGTTGCTATCGCCATGAAGACCTACGGAGGGCCTAGTGTCACCTTGCTATTCCTGCAGATTGGTAGTATCATGACACGGTTCACAGCCGCCTCGTCGGCGATCTATGGATCCTCCAGGGCAGCTTCTGAGCTTGCTGAGCAGAAACAAGCACCTACTGCTCTGCTTGTACGGAATGATGGTGGTCGCCCAGTACCATGTTTTGTCATTGCTGCTCTCCCGGCGCTTTTGAGCTTCATAGCGCTGTCGGAATATGGCAAGTCCGTTCTCGACTATGCTGCGGAATCCTCCGGCACTCCAATGGTTTTTGTCTCCCTGACTATATTCGTCGCACATCTCAAATCCTCGAAGGAACGTCGAAGGCGGAGACAAAACTCAGTGAATAATTTCCGTGGAGGCTTCATACGCGAAGCAAGTTCTTGGTTTGGAACTTCTTTTTGCTGCGTCGTGGTCCTCTCCTAGCTATGGACCGGGCTGGGACCAACGGTGTACGGAGAAGTGCTCTCGGCCGAAATAGATGCCAGTACTCTCAGGTCCTATCTTTACATCCCGATCACAGTAACAGTCTACCTTGGCTACAAGCTTTGCCGACGAACCCTCAGGCCCATGGGGTGATTAAACAGTCCTGACGTCTGTTGCCTCAGGTGATCTCAATTTCGCATCACCGCTGATGCTATGAAAGTAGTCGCCGCGTCCGATATCAGGTCAACGAAGCGCAGTGAGCGACGACTGGGGCATCCAAAATTCAAACTGCTGCAGAGCCACGTCTGCAAGTTACTCACATCACCACACATTCTCTTTCATCTTCGCCTTCGTCACCGGCCGAGTTTACCCTGTTGACATCCGCTACAGTAGGCCGTGGATGCGGCTCGCCGCATCTCTTGCACTCAAACGCTGCGGATGGGTTTTGGAGAAAAGACTCCTGTTGTGAAGCTTCAAGGGCAGCCTGAAAGCACACCTTTAGTCTGTTGGTGTCCTTCGCCGATTCGCTCTGCATCTCTTTGCGGTAACACGTCAGTGCTTGACAGAGTGCATACCAGTATGTATGCCGCCGTCGCATTGCAGGTGACCCTCTCTTGCTGGTGGATTTGTTTCCGACACTATGAGGGTGCTCGCCATTGCAACTATCCCACAGTGTTCGAAGCGAGAGCGATTTGACCGCCCACAGAGTAGCAAAGAACTTCAATGCGTCGAACTCGAGTGTGACGTTTGGCGTGCCGTTTCCTTCAAACATCATGGGAAGCTCGGAAAAATAGAGAGTGAGTTCCCGAAGGTTGTCCGCAAGCCGTAATAACTCCTCCAACTTGTCTGACAAGCATACATCTATCTTTTCCAGATTCCTGAAATTCAGTGTGAGGTCTTTCACGTGACCAATAGTGATTGTGTTGTTCAATAGAGGATCCAAGTTCCAACAATTTATGCGGCGATCGACGTATGGTCTCATACCGTTATACCATTGCTTGTTGATGGTAAGGATTGAATGGCAGGGAAAGAATCTGTATCCTTCGGGACTAATAGACCGAAACCCAGAGCCAAGGCAAGCCTCGCAAATTTTAATTTGTATTTCGAGGGGAAGTGCTTTGAATCTCGATAAGTCTAGGGACTGGCATTTTTGTGAAGAGGATTTAATAAATCGAACACTGCGTTTGGGTTTCCTTATGCCTGTCTGTTGATGGGAGATCTTCGACCAGCTTTTGGAGGACGACTTTAGAGTCATTGAGTCTCCAGACGCCCGCATATTCGAGAGGTTGGTCGGAGCCTTTCGGCAATAAAAAGTGAGGAAGAGTCAGGATGAGCTGAGCAGGCGAACGGGCGTGAGTAGCAATAAATACTTGACAGCTAGTCAAAAGCCATGCCAAGTTCAGATAGCTGCATGCTACGTTAGAGGTTGGTGGCGATTGCCTCCATCTTGGGGCTGGGCCTGGAGGATGAAATGCCGACGTGTAAACGTTGTATTCATTGGCGGTACGAACATGAATGCGCCATGTATTCGTGTGGCAACCACACTATATCAGAAACTAAAACCTCCAACATATTTTGCGATAGCCTCAGTCAGTGAATCATGGTTACGCGAAAGTAGGTATTGGTGATCTGGATGGGGGCTCTGTCGAAAGAAACAGGTCCACTGTCAGAAGGCTTCCTCTGCATTTGGTGCTAACCTCCCGCACATACAGTACTGTAGAGTGATGATACAATTAAAACAGATTATTCTATCTAGATACTCTAGGTATCAGAACTCAAAGGATAAAGAAGAAGAATTCCTTACGCGGGAAGCTTGCGTCAAGGGCGCGAGTCTTCCGAGTTTTTTTGGCGGTGTTCTTAGCGCGGGTTCGGTGGTATCGCTCTCTTTCTCAGCTTTGTCACTTCTCTATTCTGTCTACTAGTTCTCTATTCTGTCTACTCCTGACATTCATGGAGAGTCATCTCATGACGAGATTACTCTTAGCTGCTGCAACAAATGAGACCGGGCAGACAAACCGTAGCAGCACCTGCCGGGTCACAATAGAGCGCGACCTATGCCCACTTCCCAAGTAAAGACATTATTCCTGCGCCTAGCAGCATCGAGATAATCATGAAAGCCAACTTCCTGTCGTTGTTGGTGCGGTCAGGGCTAAACAAGAAGTCTCTAGCCATGAGCTCCACCAACCCGGTATATATCAAAATACCGGCAGAAATAGCGTCAAGGAGTCCAGAAACAACATTTGCCGTATAACTGTTGGAATTGTAGGTCGTCCGAAGGCCAAGGCCGATCGCTATGGCAATTGGGGTGGTAAGGCCGTAGCCGGCACATAGCCACCAGGGCATCCAGCTGTATCGCTTCGGGAATGGAATTGCAGACAGACGAGCTCCGATACCCAGGCCTTCGAAGGATTGGTGGAAAACGATGACAGGATACAAAACCGAGAACTCTGGGCCGGCTGTTCCAAGCGTCAAACCAATAATCACACTGTGAAAAATTATACCGAATTCGAGGATCAGAAAGGCCGCAATCTGTTGCCTAAAAGCCAGGGCTGCAGCTTGGTCTTTCTCTTCTTCTAGGTCTCGTTCATCGTCGTGAGCCACAGCCTGCGTGTTCTTAGACTCCGGCAAACCTCCTTGTGGAGACGACGGGTCTAATTCAATTCTGTCATCTCGTGCTTCAGGGTGGATGGAAGCAGGGACCGAACGACGCCGTGAGAGGTCATAGCGTAGCATTGCAGCGTCCACCGATCCTGATCGTAGGTGGCTGTCGGTTGGGTTCACATTGTCGTGCTGACTAATGCCGTACTTTTTCTCCACGTAACGCTCGGCAAGGAACTCCATCAGAAAGGTCAACATCACGGTTGCTAGGGCAATTGCTGGTGGCCAAGAATATTGGTACCATCCGCCAGTCATGCCAACGCATGTATTCTGGCCAATCTCGTAGTAGGACGGGTCGAGAAGACTGTGAAGCAATCAGCTGCGGATTCGTTTCACATAGCAGAAAATTAAACACACTGGACAAAGCCCGTTGCGATAATAACTCCGGTTCCAAAGTATCGAGCAAAGAGATAGACATAGAGTGGAATTCTTAGTCGCTGAACTCTAGTCGCTAGAACAGGGAAATAGGTCACCGCTGATGACACAAAGAGGATGACGAAGACGGAAGAGATACGCGCCCCAAGGTTGCCATTGTATTCATTGCCGGAATAGAGGATGTAACAGGTCACATCCCTTTTGGAGGCCGTGTTGAGATTGACACATGTAGGGTCGGATAAGCCGAAGGGAAAGTTGTGAGACATTCTGGCGTCCAGATAAAGTGAAATAGCCAAGAGTAGCCAAGATGATACAAGCAAAAGGAAAAAAGTGAAAATTTGCGGCCGAGCAGATACTTAATTATAGGCTCTAGTAGCAGCTCAAAACGAGGACCTTAAAGAAAACTCAGTTGTTCTCCAATTAGCCTCAACCCAGGTGACCCCATACGCGCGCACGGTTCCTACTGTACAGTAGATACTAGTGTTGCCGGTGAACCAAGTGCCTCTGAAAGTCCTCGCTGATAATGTTTGTCCTTCAGATCAAGAACGAATTCTTGCGACAGAACAGAGCCCAAAAGAACGGCATGGCTAACGGGGAAGCTGCGCTGCGATCTGCATTGGACAAATACCCAGGGACTTTTATTAAGGTGCGCTTTCTCTAGGAACACAATTACGTAGGCGGACGTAATGACGAGCCATGGTGACGTCAGCCAGGTTTCAGTCAAGGCGGCAATGATCATACGCCGCAACACCTCAGTGGGGAAGAGGACCTTCTGTTACACAGAAGCAGGGGAGGGCCGGGAGGGTAGTACTGTTGGCTTGCATAGAGACGTGAGTGCTTCAACTGCATAGCTGCCGATAAGGGCCCCAATCGAGCCAGACTGTGACTCAGTCAATCAATCAATCGGGCCAACAGTGCCAGGAAGTAATGTTCTAAGAACATGTTTGTGCTGAGTCGTGAAGTGTTACTCATTCTTATTCTATTTCATCAATCTTCCTGGCCATGTTTCCATTACATATATGCACAATGCTCGACTTCCATATGGATCGCCAATGATGACCAAGAAATTACCAATTGTCCTCCTTATTGCCCCATAACTGGAGGCTTCTGGACTGAATCCTCAATAGTATCATCGCCCCTCAATCGAACAGTCTGTGATTTTGAGAAAGGATTTGGGTTTCAAATCTCCATTGCTACTACAACAGCAGTCTCCGGCTGCCTATTCCCTTTACTCTAGAATTCAGCCAGCACCCTACGTGCTCTGCTCGGGGTGGCTGGGGTCCTGTTTATGTCTTGGGATCATACTCACCTTGTTCCGTAATCGGAAGTCCTCGCTCTCGAGCAATAGAAAGCGCACGCCCTGCGAGATCACTAGGGTGCTCAGCTCCAGTAATACCGAGTCTATCGTTAATACGCTGCATCCGGTCTCGATCAGCTTGGGCCACACTTTCGATAGAACCACCGAAGAACATGTCAAGCTCTTCAAGGGTTTTGTTTTTGGTCTCTATCAAGTCTTGTCAGCATTGTTACGTCTGATCGTAAGGCTAGGTCTTCTCACCGGGGCAAAAGAACCAGATGAAAGCACCGCCTGCTCCGGAGAAGAATGCAAAGAAGATGTAAGTGCCGAATTTCATCGAGTTGATCATGTCACGGGTGGTCAGGCCGATGATAAAGTTGAACATCCAATTAGTCGAAGCCACAATCGACACACCTCGGGAACGCATGCTGTTGGGGAAAAGCTCTTGAGTGAGCACCCAAGCTACAGGGCCCCACGAGTACGCGAAGTTGACCGCGAAAAGCCAGATGAAGGCGATGGAAACCCACCCGAGGGTTTTGGCAAGGCCTCTACCCAGAGCCCACTGGTCTTCATACACGCCATCTATGGATGCGACGACGATATGACAGATACACATACCAATCGCCCCGACGATCAAGAACGTTTTTCGACCAAATTTGTCGAGGAAGAATACGGAGGGCAGTGTAAAGAGAATTTGCAATATACCAGTAACGCCGGTGGCCAGCAGATTGGTGGTGACTGAGCTGAAACCGAAACTTCCAAAAATCTGTGGCGCATAGTACCTGCGGTAAATTAGACTGTGATTCTAGGGAGTGGCAGAATCTACTCACAAGACGGCGTTGATGCCCGTGAACTGCTGGAATCTAGCCCTCGTGTTAATACGGGTGGGTACATTAGAGCGAGAAAGAGACTCACATCATGATCCAGCACCCAATGCTCAACCGCTTGAACATATTTGATGCGAATAGCGCCATCCATGGAGCGAGGACACCGCCGCTCTCCTTCAATTCAGCTTCTGCCTCTTCATCGAACATCACAGTCGCCTTGATTTCGAGAAATTCGGCGACCAGGAGAGGGTCAGAAGGCTCAAGTCTTCTCAACCGGGACAGTGCGGCCACACAATCATCTTCCCGATGCTTCATCATCAACCACCGGGGAGAAAATGGGAGGAAGAACATTCCAAAGAACAGGATCCAGGCCGGAATCAGCTGGAGAGACAATGGCACACGCCATGAGACAGTCTTTTCGCCAAGACAAGTGTGGCCGTGGGCCAGGGCAGGCTCGAAGGCGTTGGTCGAAGAATAAGGATCGGCCACTCCTGCGGGATCACAGTGACTACCCCCAACAAAGTGCATGCCATAGTCGAGCCAGAAGCTGATGCAGGTGCCGATGGTGATCGAGAGCTGTTGGAGAGATACCAGGGAGCCTCTCAATTCTGGAGGGGCGATTTCGGCCTGGTACAGAGGAATCACCATGCTGAACATGCCGATATCGAGACCACCAATCACTCTTCCAGCGAAGAGCATGGCGGGGTTTTGAGCTCCAACCTGAAAGCCAGTGCCGAGGGTGAATACGAGGACGGCGACAAACGAGGATGTGGTTACCGAGCTCTAGATTCAGCTGGCAAAAGGTCTACAGTCCATGTCTTGTTCTCTAGAAGTAGATCACAGTGTCATTACGGTGTTGTGTGGGTTGTCAGTTGCGTGTTCTACGCAATTCTCGCTAGAGTACTTCGCATTCTGTACCTCAAGTGCTGTTGTTTGCATAGCTTCGCTGTCAATTTCATACACTTATGAAGCAGATCGAAGGAGCGCTTTCGATCTGACCATTAGATTCGCCACGCGACAGTTCCTAGATGAAGATCCGACAGCCAGTACCCTTTTAAGCTTCGAATCTTAGCATTGGCCGGGACAAGTCCTGAGGTGACACATCACCGTAAGTATTTCAACACTTTTCTCACTGGGCGAGAAGGAATACGGCAGTTTGAACCATGTTATGTCTACCAGTCAGGTTTCCACCGACCTTTCCAGGCTATGACCTTCTTGTTCCATTGACGGAACTGGTCTTTAGCTGGACCATTCCCACATCACTGTTGTGTATTATAGCAGTGGAAGCATTGATTGATCCTTATTCTACTTCTCCTTCTCTAAGGAAGTAGAAGTATATATACATCGAAGTGACATACTAGAAGCTTCCCTACAATTTCCAAGCATGCGCAATGATTCCCTGAGACTATCATGAATGTCATGATGGTTGGCTGAGCCTCATATCACAACAATCACTTCTGGCCATGACCAAATGTTTGCCGCTCCAGAGCTTGCCATTTCCTTTTTCCTCCTACGTTACATAATTGCATCGTTTGGCAGGCATCGTAAAGACTATCCCGCTGGATCTGACGCCGCTGGGAGGTGTTGAAAACGCCGTCCACAGTGTCCCAGAGCATGACCTGATAATGATTGCTCACGTGCAGTCGCTTCCTCAAGCGATACAGCCACGCAATACGGATCAGGCACCGGGCATCAGGATCGGGCAATTTACGGATCTCACGCACCTTGGCGTAATTTTCCTCTTCATTCGGCACTGACTCTCCCTGCAGCCGGATCACCACATAGTCACCATTCTGAATTCGTTCGTCCCGCAACGAACACGATGCTACCGCATCGAGGCTCCGCCAAGAGGCCATATTCTCTTTCAGCGGGACGATGGTGTATGCCATCCGGTCTTTGCTGAACTCAATGTCGAAAAATTCTTCCACGGGAGTTATCTCAGGTAGGACTGCCCCCGACGCATGAGCAGATGATGTGGAAGGCAGCGGTATTTGTATATCTGCTTCCTCTGCTTCCTCTGTTTGTACTTCTTTCTCTCCAGCTTTTTCTCTCTGTATCACTACCTCTATCGGCTCAGTGGGCTTCGGGGATACACCGGGATCAATAGGATAGATGTCTTGAATCTCCGCAATGACCTGACCTGGTCCTACTCCGGGCACTGGCTCTGTACCGGCTTCCTCTGCCCCTAGATTCATAATGGTGTTCCAATAAGCCGGGTTAGTACTCTGCGCTCTTTTTTCCTTCTGGATGTGGAGGTCGGATCTAACGATGTTGTAGGTTATCTCGCTCGCTGCTGACTGAAGAAAAGCAGCTGCAGGAGTTTTGTTCCGCTTCGACGGTCTCGTGGAATCAGGCGCTGCGCGCTGGGATTTTAGCAGCATCTTGTGGTTACGATTCTCACGGGTCAATTTATGCCACTAAAAGACGTGGTGTACTATATATACCTGGATCGAGGAACAGGTGCCAGAAACTCAAAAGCCTTAGGAATGAGCGTATTGTGGGTGCACCAAAACCACCGAAGTTAGGGCGTCGGACATAAGCTCACGCGTTGTTTACGCGACAATGTGCGACGCGCTACAGTACCACAAACACCACACTCTCACACTCTCACACTTTCACACTTTCACACTCTCACACTCTCACACTCTCACACTCTCAAACCTATGTCGACACATGAACGTACTAAAAATCATGTCGCTGGTTAATAGTTCGGCACTGAAGTTGAACACTGTTGACTCTGTACACCAGGATGACATCTTTGTGCACGCACAGTTACAGTACCTAGGCTCCGGAAATGGTGGACACTCAGTACGGACTCACAGAAATATTCGGACCGCGGTCGAGTATCTGAAAGGCCGGCGAGCCGCACGAAACTTCGTGAAGGCATGTTGGGAGAGGGCCTTGGCGATCTCCCCGCAAGCGTTTATTTTCCTGAGTGCCTCATTCACGCATCACCGCCTGTTAAGGAGAGGACAATACGCCTGCCAACATCTGACCGATCTCCTGAAGCGAGATCAGAGTAAGATTGACCAGCACGCAGAGTTATCATCTCTCAGCGCACAGTATTTGAATGACCTTAAACAGCTAGCTCAGGCTGACATGTTTGACAATCCAAAACGCACCAGGCGGTTACATCGACAAGCGCCCCGGACAAAGAACCCCACAAGGGCTCAAGAAGAGCTGTCGGCGCCATATGAGCCACCTACACATCATGATGAGCCTGCTGTTTCAACATGGCTGGACTACTTCCACAAGGAGCCAGCGTTTCTGATACATCTGGACCCTGCTTTGGACTTCTCGAAACTGAAACTACTGACATCTGCCACTGAAGATCTGCATACTTTTTGGAAGACACACACGACGTGTCTACCTACGATTGTGCCGGCAGCAGCATGCTGGCGGGAAACGCCGCCAACGTTTGAACAGCTCTGGGTCGAAACGTTGAAGATCAAAGCAAATAGTGCGTTGTGAAGAGACCGTACTAGGTTGAGAGAGTACTGACAGAGAAGATCATCGGGTCTACGAACAGGGCGAACAGTCAACCAATGCTGCGCTTGCGTTCTGTCAGATGGCGAGACCGAATCACGACAATCCTATTTGCATTATTGGGATGGAGCCTCCTGCATTGGTCCGATTCCGAACGTTCGGGGGCTGTGCTCAACTTCATCAGCGAGTGACAACGCACTTGGAACAACGCATGGTGTTCAATATGACGCCAAAATTCTCGTTCGTCGACTTGCATATAGGTATGGTCACTGGTCGTCGATCGAGGGCCCATATGCTGACCAAGACAACAGACTATGGCAAAGATGGTATCTCTGCTACCTTACACGAATGCGAAAAGGTGTGGGTGATGTATCCTCCGACGCCTCACAACCTGCAGTGGATGGCCGAGCACAGGGGCCAACAAGCCAAACTGAGACAGGGCATGGCGGTCTTGGAAGGGGGTGTGGTTGCGCACACGACTTCGGCGGAAGCGGTCTACTTACCGGCGGTATGCCTGCATGCTGTCTTCACCGTTGCCGGTGGGTTCCTGGTCTCGATCGATTGTACCACTCAGAGGTCAGTATGGCCGTTTGCACAATACCTCCGATACAACATGCAAGCGGAGCTGGAAGCCAACGAGCAGCGAAACTGCTATTTCTTCTTCCTGGATTCTCTCGACGTGGCGTTGCAGAATGCCGGGGCGAGGGATGCCTTGCGTGCATGGGTCTCGGTAGAAAATCTCCTCCAAATGAAGAGAAAGAAAGACCGAGGGTGGGTTCGTGCGGCACGAAAGGTATGGGAGGACTACCTGAAGGCTGACCCGATTATTGATGTTGAATGTCCCTGCCAGGGCGCAATCAGCCCCTCCTTTCTTGAGCATCTGAAGGACCGGCATTTACGTTGGCTATTCAATGATACTGCTGAGGGCCCTACCAAACCCAATTCGAGTGCCGAATCTGGGTCCAGGAACATCAGGGGAGGTTCCGCCACCGGAATAAGACGAATTTCACGTGGATGAATGACCAGGGCTGAGATGGGCTAACAGGAATACCCTGGGAATGGTAATGAGCTTTTGAGAAGTAGAGGGCCTGGTCAACAGGATCCTCAGATTGAAGAACTGGAATTTCTTCAGAGAGAAGACCGGGCAGAATAGCAAATGTTTTAGGATTGTCTTGTATTTCGAGCTACATTCCTACGCTACTGTCGCTTAAAATTGGAACTTTCTGAGGCGAGGGAATGAACGGCTCTCGAGATGTGGTCTGTATTTGACGAACGTCTTGTGCTGGGGCCGACCAGACAATCGCCAAAGTCTTGGCAGAACTCACTTTCGACGAAATAAGATATTCTGGAAGTTTCATCCTCCCAACTTAAGCGACTCCATCTAACCTCGAAAATAGTACCTGGTGGCTACAACAGCCGAGGCAGTACCGCCAGGAGCGACGCTTGAAAGGAAGGATGGTTAATTCATGCATAAAAATACTATCTCTTGACATCGACGTACCAGATACGGCGATACCTTTGATCGCTCCAGCGGCCGTTTGGAAACCCATACTACCAAAATGGATCCAACTCTGATATTTCGTGCTGGTCCGAAGGACTTCATCCCGGGCATCACTCTGGCACGTCATGAAGAGAAACGGATAAGCATTGGCAGCTCACATTACATGCCTCCCGCCCATCTCGAGCCGGATAACATGATAACACTTCTCCAGCAGTGCATCAGCCTAGATATTACACTCGAGGTTCACCGCTTCCGTGACAAACTCCAAGAGCTAGCTGCGACTGGAGAGCCAGCTGTAATGGTCATGACGAAGTTCTTCACACTATTCACGGGGAAGCTATACACGATGGCTGTTGAGCAAAGCACGACCCCAATACCAACGAATCTGCAGAACAAAGTATTCGTCTTCACCGCTGAAATCATCGACATGTTCGCCAACCGATGCGTCGGCCACAAACCTACACCACCAGTGGACTGGGCGTGCCGGCTGCGGCTGCGAGATGTGTCTGCAGCTCGATTCTTTCCTCGGCAATCCCTCACAAGAAGAGTTGTCGATCTCTGTAGGAAATGAGGATCGTGTGCGACACTTGACTGATCGGTTGCCTAACATCGACCAAGGCATCGACCAACCTTTCTGGAAAGAAAACGAGCCCGAGAATGAAACGCAGGTCGAACCCGGTTTCACGCTCAAGATTCGCAAGACGGTGAGGGCATGGTGGCACGCCGTAAAGCTATGGGAGCAAGACCAAGACGGTGCTCAGCCGCAGTTTGACAAAGCAATTGACGATGAGGGACTGAGGGACGGCTTGAGGGTGTGCCTTGATCGGCTCGGCGAGGGCGAGTGTGGATTATCCATGTAGGAAGAAGCTTTGTTTGAGAACTTGTATTTAAGTTTATGGCTTCTCATATTAACTTTGTCTATGGCATGGGCGTCGGATTAGGTTGAGGCCGATGGGAAGAGAAATATAGGTAAGAAGTAGTGCGTAAGTGTATATGACAAACGAAGCCCAGTCAACGAAATGTACATCTCATGTCAAAGGTCAGAAAGCAAAGGCGAAAGCTAGGACGTTCCGAACAGAATATCGAGGAGGCCCTGCAAGTGCTTCATTGACCGAGTCCAATGCGTTCGGATGTGTACTGTACATACCGTGAGCGAAGTAGTCTGTAATTTGGACTCCTGTGTACACTGAATCAGGGCTCTTTGATCTCTCGAATTTCTCCCTACCGACTGCCCTGCGGACCTTCCATCAGCAAAGAGAATGGAACACAGTTCAGAAACTGGAACGATAGGCTAAGGCATGAACATGGAGGTTCCGTGCGAATGTCAAACTTTTGCGGAGTATTGTGAGTGACAGTACGATATATAACGAGGTTCAAACTGGGAGGGCTTACGGCTTTCTGATAACATGCATTTTCAAGGACGGTGGAATACAATGGATTGATCAAAGAAAGGACATTGCACCTTGCAGGGCGGTCGAAGACAAAGTTTCGTCGCAAGGCCCTTGAGCAAAATGCGGACAAGCGACGACGGGAAGGTTACGATCAGCGGCGAAGTTGCCTACATCCCCGGGCAGAGCAGTCAGCGAATACACTTCCTGGTTGAGCTTATGGCCGCAGGACTGTGCTTGAGAAATTGGAATGATGGTCTCGGTATGGCTTCTTCGTCGTCAGGCTCAGAACTTTTCAAGGATGATCGATAAGTCTGGCACGAGTCTGGCCTTGAGTCTTACATTCCGGAGCGATAAGGAGATAGGTACGGTCTTGTAAGTCTACTAGTCTTTCTCTTATAGTAATACTACCCACTACCGGATTGGACTTTCTTAATCACGCCCTTGCATTTGTGTAACGGAAGGTATCATGGCCCCTTATGACGATATATCGACGGCTGGGATTGTCAGCTAATCCGGTATACTGATATTGTATCCGCCGAGCCATCGGTTCTGATCTTGCTTGTCCAGGAATATCAAGGATTACGGAAGATAGAGTTTAAATTCCTCAGACTTCTTCACTCTAGTCTTGTATTATAGTTAGACTGGTGAAAGAATAGTCTACAGTATCCGTCTTTGCTCGGGCAATGGTAACGTTAAGAGTGACTGGAGAAGTTACTTTTCTTACTTCAAGAAGAGAAAGCTTAAATCATAAGATCTACTCAAGACCATACATCAATAGTAAAGCAAACCTGTTCCGCCTGACGTCACTGGAAGCATCTTCTGATACAGTAATGCAAGTCCATATGAGGCCTTCTCAGGGGACTCTGCCTTTCTTCTCTTTGAGGCGTTATCTCAAAATTGGAGTGATTTGAAAGGTCAAGATCTCCTACAGGCCTTCGATCCAAGCTCGAAATATAATGCTTCGACTCTTTCAAAAATCCCTCCACATCCGAAGGCCCATCGTACCAACTCCCGTACTGACCCTTCTCGGTATCACATTCACAGAATCGAAAATAGTGTTTGGGAGTTTGCAATCTTTCAAGGTGGATAGATCGGCGGCAAGCCCATCCAGGTTGTTTTTCCCATTCAGCTTCCATGAGCCCGTCGAAGAGTGCTCCACCCTTTTCTTCCGAGTGGAGTAACGTACTGGCCATTGTCCGATCACCTTCTTCATTGAAGCCAGAAAGAACCCAGTCCGCCCATGCTTCTTCGTCGTTGAATCGTACCACGATGCGTGTTTGGGCTCCACCTTTAGTGTTTGAGTGAAGTGCAGCCCGAAAATGGGAATTGTCTGGCAAAAGCAGTTTCAGGTTCCTTGTCAAGAGAGGCCGAAACTCTTCTGTGTTCATCGACTCCCCACAGCCGATTGAGAAACAACAGAACTTTGCCGCCATAGGATTAATATGTTTGTGGCTCTGTGACAACTTTAACACATGTGATACAGAAGTCCTATTAGCGACCTTGACAGGAGACGAGGGCTTGTAATCTTTTCATTGTTGATTCCTTCCGTCTCTTCTTCGACAGTCCATAGGCTATTCTTGTCTATATACACATCTAGTGGGTACCTCTAGCACTGCCTGGCTGAAGTTTGCTTTCTAGCACTGCCCTGTTGGAGTCAATAGGTGACCAAAAGTTCAGAATCTACTGTGTAAAACGCAGACCAATCGGATCGTGTTTATCACGACCTTACCACGTCCTAGACACATGGACCGTTGTATGTATACAGTACTGTATATTACCCTAAACACGGTTATAATGCCAAAGATTTCCCTCAGAATATGGTGGCGGCACGTTCATAACATGACTAGTTCCAAGCAAGTAAACTCGGGATGAGTTCCATCTGATGAAAAATCGGCGACCAATGATTTGTAAGGCCTATCTTAAAGAAACTACTGTAAATACTGATAGTAGCTGTGGAGCATGATGATGATATGCTTTATCACCCTCCCGGTCGAGCCCCTACGGCGCTCACCCCTAGATATCGAGGAGTTACATTCCTGATACTACCGTGGATGTCTGTAAAGCCTGTCCCGAGTCAGGTACAGTGCAGAATCTACATAACTAACTATGGTGCTGTACAGTCTTGTATAGGATCATAGTGTACTGCACCACATCTTAAATATACAGTACAGTCTCTAGGCTATTCTCACCCCTAACGACGTCCCTCGCCGTGCAGGAGCTGCAGTCGTCTTTCATTGATAAGAGCCTGCAGATGGGCTCCGACTCTATGATGCACCTTATTTTTTCTCTCTCCAAGCTCTGGATCGTGACCTATTGGCTTCCTTTTTGTCTCTGCTTCGGATCTCAAATTGATGAAAACGGAGCTTCACGGCGTTCTCTTAGCCCACTCTGTAATGGGCACGCGGAACTCTGCAGTCGTCGATACAGCAATGTGACCTACGTGACCGCCCCACAATAGCCCGTTCAACCAACTCGGTAATCCCGCAAGTAACCAGGCAGCAAGTATCGAAACGCAGCTTAATGATGGCGTGAGGATGCGTACGACGCTTACCACAAACTGAGCAAGTAAAGTGCCGTTCGGCTGACACACCGACAGTTCAATTCCAAACTCATTTTGAGGACAATGAGCTCCGTCTCTGTCATACGAGCTGCAAAATCTTGGACGCTGGTCTTCTCGTGGATCTGTTACGGAGGCTGCGAGTCTGGCTGGAGAACCATCCGAATGAAGTCGTCAGCGTCCTCATGGGCAATGACAACTTCATCGACGTAGGAAACTACACCGCCTCAATAGTCAACTCGGGCTTGATCGATTATGTGTACCACCCGCCCGCCGCGAATCTAGATCTCGACGCGTGGCCCACCTTAGGGGACATGATTTAGAACAATTCCCGGGTGGTGGTGATGTTGGACTACTAGGCCAACTTTACCCGTGTGCCCTACATTCTTGATGAGTTTCTCGTCATGTGGGAAACGAAATTCTCTCCCACCGACCCGTCTTTTCCTTGCACCTCTGAACGGCCACCCCATCAAAGCAACGAGGTCCGGCGGACAAAGATGATGCTGATGAACCACAATCTCAATCAAAATTTTTCCATCAAGGGTGTTGAAATCCTCGTCCCTTATTGGACCAAACTGGACCAAACTAACGCGGATCATGGAAACGGTAGTGTCGGTGATGCGGCACGTCACTGTGAGACCGCCTGGTCTCGATCTCCAAACTTTTTGTTGGTCGACTATTATAAGGATGGAAATTACCCTGGGTCGGTGTTTGCTGTAGCGGCCGAGGCGAACAGTTTATCGTACGCGCACTCTGGTAGCTCTGATCAACTTACGGCTAAGATCACAGACGTGATATTCGTGTATCTTGGCTCCGTTCTGATCTTTATGCTGATATGGAGTTAAACATCGATATTTTGGGGGCGGGCCATTTCGCCGCTACTGTGTATCTGGGGAGGTGTCTAGGGCGACCCTGAGCATGCTCAACGCTGCTTCAAGTTCGCTAAGTTCGTTGCAATCAAAATATTGCACAACACAACCTGGGTCGATGAGCGTAGAGGCCATTTTCCTTAATAGTGCAGACGATAATGCAAGGGATCTTATGCCTCATAAGGATGGTCTGTCGCAACTTCAATGAGATTGAGCTGCCTAGGTAGCAGTCGAAGAAATTTTCGAGAACTTCGCCGACAAATATCCAACATATATAAGAACTCTGTAATCATCTTGTTCGGCAGATCTAGAGAAGGTACGGAGTAAATCGAATTGAATCGACATTGGTCTGGATACCTTCCTATGATAGAAAACACGTCTGTCCTGGCGACCCAGCATATTCTGATACTCGCGGATGTCTTAAAAGTTGTTTTCTGGCCGAGGCTCCTCATTTCCCGGCTGTCGAAAGTGTATGGTGATCGTCGGTTTGAGTCAGAGAGTCGCCTCCCATTTCCTTGAAAGGATGACGCTCCCATTCGGTCCTGACAACTCGAACTGACTTTGGCGTATGTTGGCCAGAGTTTGCGGACAAGTATCAGTGACAAGGCGTTTCTATGCCCTAGACAAGGTTCCTGTTGGTTTTTGACGAAACTCCACACATCAAAGCGAACCAGCCATGTCTGACAGCGAGATCACGCGAACTTGAAAGGCCGCTCAACATCGTTGATGAACGTAACACATGCTGCTTCTGCCAACGCTTAGTAAACTTGAGTTTGCCTATCTTCGTAGAGAGAGAAGGCTTAAACAAGGCTTACTCCATTATTTTGTCCTTTTGAAGCTATTGATTCTCATAGGATTGAGTTTAACGTGGTGATTTGCATAGAGGATCCGGCGCCAACAGTAGGAAAAACGGTAGTATCTTATTGGTATAGGCCAATAATGCACAACGCTCTGAGAGTCCTTGCAGCTCGAGATCGTACGTGGGTGGTTGCTCTTGCATGCGGTCTTCTTAGGGTGCCTTTAGCCTGGCAGAACTATGCAGCGGACGACGCCACCTGCACCATGACCAGCCAATCAGTCCTGCCGACAAGCTAGTCTAGGTTGTGCAATTGGTTAGTGAAAGACAAGATAGATATGAGAAAAGCTGTTGTCCCGCTATGGCTACTGGCAAGCTCGGACAAAAAAGAACCATTTGCATACTTTGTGCATGAAACATGAGCAGGTTTAAGGCGGACTATGAGCTCCCACCTCCACCTGGTGCCCGCTGGGAACTCTCAGAGAAACAGGTCAGTTATTTCTGAGTGCCAGGAGGTGCTCGACAACGCGATGATCACCTTACGAGCGACCTGTCGAAGTCCCGAAAATCACCTTGTGCACCTCACGGAAGGGAGTGGCGCCTCTTTTATGTGCGTCCACGATAGAGAACGAACTTGATCCTCATTTCCCTGGTCGACCGAAGTTTACAGTGTGAGAGGATGAAGAATACGTGACAAAGAGGTGGGGTGGACGAGAGAGACATAATCGAGATAGTCACTACTGCCACTGCCAACACTTCAAGATATTCCGTTTAAAATCTAGTCTCTCTCAACTCATAACGCGTCGACTCGTTAACAAATCATCCTCCAAACCTCTAGAAACACCAAACATACAGTATCAGTTCGCGAAAGAGTGTTGCAACTTATAACTAGTGATGAAAGATAAAATCTAGCATTCTATCGTCCTGACACACCATAGTTTACAGTATCGAAGATTGACAAATTCACGGCGAAGAGGTGAAAAAGAAAGGAGAAGAGACGATTCACTATATAAAGCAATAACACTACTCACGAAGGGAACACAACATGCACAATCTGTCATATTAAGTCATGCTATTAATAACATTATCTAGTTATAGCTTAGAAAACACTTTTTAGACGCATTATACACTGTCACTTCCATAGCTTGGCAATATCGCGACACACCACCTGACCGAAAGAGGTCGTGGCGATGCGTCCGGTTGCCAATCGTGTCTCGATGGCCGAGGGCGAGCATCAACTCGGGAAGCATTAACGAGTAAGCCTCGTACACTACACGTATATCCCATACAATACATCTGTACTATATATAGCGCACTCCTAAACAATGAGCTATCGCACTGGGATGGCTAAACTCTCGGCAGTTCCTAGCGATCAAGTAGTATTCTAGCCAAACAAAACAAAGATTGGATGGGGACTATAGGTCCGTTCCAGGTGGCCCCGTTCGCGACCCAACAATACAGCGGCACAGACGAGTGTACATTAAGTAGACAGGAACAGAGGAGGGCCGGGAAGAGCCTGACAGGTAGCATATATATAGAACCCATATTAGGATTGTTAGTATGGAGTTTCTACTTACAGTATAATAGTGCGCTGCGTACCTCCCAAAAAATACAGTAGACGGCTGATATGATGTAATTAATCTCGAGAGAGCGACGTGGCTGCACTTACTATATGGATGGGTAAAACCGAGTAAGACCGTTGTGGTAACTGTCCGAAGCAGTGGGTTCGTGGTACAATACTTAGCACTGGGCCACAAGGTACTGCGGTAATTTCATACTAGAAGTCAACTTCTGAATTGGTGGTTCATGTCGTTCACTAATGATCAATCAACAGTGTCCCCCGGAGTTGCGTGGGAAGAGCCACCAAAGAAACAACCGATGGCAGGTATCTCGGCCCCCATTGCATACAGTAAGACCGCTTCTACCTGTGGATTTCTTTTTTGTCATTGCTTTTCCGGACTCCTTCCCTTTTCTCGCACAGAGTTTTTGTCAGTTTTCAATCCCTGAGCCTACAGCAACAGACGGGTGCTCGAAATAGAACTGCATAGGCCAGTCCTCTCCTGATTTCTCTCTATCAATACAGACCTGTTGGAGCTTCCTCAGTCCTACAAACTGATGCAAAGCAATACTGCATTTGCAGATAAAGTCAGTGTTGATCCACAACACGAGATGGCGTCAGGCCTCCGGGCACTTCCTATGGATCACTTGTCGGAGATCCCTCAATTTCTTTCACGCATATCGTACTTACTTCGTCTTTGTGATGACCACAGAGATGTTGAAGGGTGCTCGGACCTGCTTGTAGGTCTTCATGATCAGCTACAGATGAGCCTCCGCAATGTGGAAGATTTCCTTCGGAACTGCTCTGCGTCATTCTCGAAGGACCGTGAGTGGGCAATTAGCACCGCACACGATGCAACCATCGACGTCGCCGACGATGATGCTACAGATGCCACTCCCGCAATAATTCCAAACGAAGTCACAGCAATCAATCAAGATCTCCCGTCGAAAAAAAGGAAGCGAGCCGGTACGGAGTGGACCAGTCTAGATCGAATCGTGGAGAAAGTTGCGAGTCCTGACGAAATATTCGAAGCACTGATGACACGAGCGGGCAAGTACTCCTCCCAAACCTCCAGACTACGGTATCTGACGAAACTTTTTTTCCACTTCGCCGGCCCGTACGCCTTTGAACAAATTCGAGACTCGTTTTCAGCGATTCATTGCACGAAAGAGATAGATTTGACCACATTGGAGGGTCACGTGAGAGTGCTGGACCGATTTATCTTAGCTCAGCCTGTTGAGAAACGCGCGCTCCTGGTGTGTCTCTGCAGCGAACGCTCCCGGCTTCAAACATGCGCGAAAAATGAGGGCGAAGGCTACCCTGATAGAGTGGCATTGAAGGAAATTGTAACCTCGGCCTATCCGAGTCTGAAATTGAGCAGCAAAGAATATGCCTTCAAAAAGAGAAGGCTACAAAAAACGTTGGAGAATGGTCGCCATTGGCTTACAGCACATCAACGCTCCCCGAGTGCTCTTTTTGCAATGCCGTCCCACTTATCGGAGAAAAAGCGAGTGAAGCCTCTTTCCCCACGTCCAGTCCTGTTCGTTTTGCTGAGCTAGTGTTTAGTTTTCAGACGCTGCCCGGCGAGCTCGTGGGCGCCTTCTTCGATCTCTTGTATTTGTATCGTGGTGGATTTCTTCGTCGTGTCGATGAAGTATTGGGTCCGTCGGTGACTGACTTTATTGAAGGAAAGCGTCCATTACAACCACCCCCTTTTGGGCAAATGAACCAGGGTCAGATGGAGAAACACCCAATGGACTCGGAATATTTCATCGAGATGAGTCGCATCATAGTGAGAAGCATGCCAGCCGCTGCATAAAATTTGGAGTCCTTGACTTATCAACTCTTCGAGCGGTGCGTCTTTACCTTTGTCCAATCGAGATCATGGAATGCTAACGGATGGTTGTGGCAGTTTGCCAGTTTACCCCTTTGCTTTGCGATACCGACAAGCTGAGCGACTATGTCACTACTTAACATGTTTAAGTAGCGTGCCCATGAGGATCGGGCGGCCGAGATCAATCTTGAGACATAACGAAATTTTCTGTCTGCAAAGAATCATCTGATGCAAATTGCGGAGAGCGTTTCAGCAGAGGCCATCCTTCTAGGCACGACCACAGAGGTTCCTCGACAGAGGGACATCACGTGAGATCCTATCAAACAGCCTGAACGGTTATCCGCCACGAAGGGTGCACCCGGCACTAATTTCCGTTCAGCGATAGAGTTCTTTGGAGCTGCGATCAATGGGGCACTGCAATTCAGATTTCTAAAGGTCGGAAAGCGCTAAAATCATAAACAACAGGGGGAAGATGTCGGATCTGCTGTCCAGCAGCATCAGAAACGGCTTTCTAGATCTAGAGGCCCAATGGGAGGCCCTCCAAGGAGTATAGAATCCTCCAAAGCGAGTACATGTTATGTGTGTGATCCATCTTGTGAGTTGTATCGACGCAACAGAGGGATGATGTACTCGAAGTCGTTATCAGCTCATATTACCACGCATAATACTGTATAAATTCAAGCGACAATTGATTCGGCGATAATGGTGAAACCAAACTTACCTGCGTCATTTGGTTTTGCTTTTTCATGGGCGAAGGGTCTCTGACGGTGTCGCTGATCCTTCTTCGTGTGTGAACCTGCCATCTCTTTCCAATGGGGTGTAAAGCCCAATGTCCCTGCCCGATAGGTGTACTGTTGAACCATAACTACGTGAACGTAGTTATGGCACGTGACGACTCGCGTCTAACTTTGTGATTATTGTCGGAGGACTTGTCATTCTCTAAGGGGTCCAAGGGGACGTCAGACTATATAGGTTTCGAAGGGTGTATCGGGTTATACCGGGGCACTTCGTAATAATACAATCACGTGGCCAGGGGCCTTCGAAGCGTGTCGAGACGATACGCTTCGACGCAGTCTTTACAAATCTTGGCACGCAAAATGTCACAACTTTACCTTGAAAGCGATGCAATTATTTAGCCGACCCTGCTGTCTCACATAACAATTCTCCCCAGATCAAGCTTCAACGATACAATATTTTCGCAACTCTTTGATTGTGACTATAAGAGCCAAGCATCAGTGGTGCAACCATTCAACGCCACATGATCATGCTTTACAGGTCTCTCCGCCTGTAGAGACTCACAAAAGAGTCTTGAGGCAGATTTAGACTCCCCGAAAAATCAGGAAATACCTGCCTTAGATCACTTAATAAGCTGAAGACTTCGGTGTAAAAATAGGTACGATACTGCGTTGTCAGAGCAGAGCAGCCCTAGAACCATTTGTTGGAAGACATGGATTAGAAATGGTCCCAATTCTAAGTGGCAATGGGCACGCGAGCTGTGAGCTCAAAAGCAATTGCTGTATAGATATACATTACTGTACATTGTCAGGATTACATGGCGTTTGCTGCATCTGGTAATCAGAGCCTGAGATGTTTAAGTGGTAAGACTGGATACGTCTGCCTAACACTTTTACTAACTTGGTACAATGGATTTGTCAACACTCCCTCCTACCGTGGAGGTTAGCATGATTTCCAACTGTACAAGAATCCATGAACTAGACGTTTTTTTTAATGTGCTCCGTGGATGTTTCGCTTACCGTGGTACAATCTTGGATCCTTATCTACTCTTATATTTCTAAATCTTAATCGGTACGGACAACCTCGTCGGAGTGAGAACTTTGAGCTAATGACGTTTCCCTTAATTGGACGTTGATTTGTGTATTCGAGGTTTGGTGCAGAAGGGTCATGGCGCATTGAAGAGTAGCTTGGCTCTCCGCGAGCGTCGTTTCCAAAAAAGCAACGTACGAGGACAAATGCAAGTTTCGAGTGCGTTCTTGGTTGAGCCGGATCAAGCACCACTGCAGATCGCAGTTCGCTTTGGAGAGATGGGACATCAAAGCATTACAGCTCCCACAGTCAGATGTTGTCTCAGACATTTCGGCTTTGTGGGATAAGGATAAACGTCAAAGGAGATGTCTTGTACGTGGTTTATATCATGAGAATTTCATACAGTGGAACTGCGCAGTCTGATTCACTATGTGGCCTTTGACAACATATCTCGGAGTATTGAGAAAAGCCTGTTCATTTCTGACCATGGATTCCTATGGAATAATACCACTCACGAGCTTTTGTGGTGATAAAAAATTTGACAAGCTTTAAACTACAGGATTTCCATAGATTAATCCAGCTAGTCGTCCTCCAAATTCTATATCCATGAATTCTAATATTCAGAGGCCAGCAAATCAACGCAGAGCTGAGTGGCGCTCAAAGTGTCGTGGTCTGCTCTCAGAACACATCAGTACGTTCCTCTATTTTTGCTGAAGAGAAGAACTTGAATTGATAACTAGAAACGCGTCTGGGCATTGAAGTGGCGGCAACCGACGTACGCCTACTTCCAGGACCGGACGCCGTATACGAGTGGGATTATCTGCCCGAACGACAACATTTGTTCCAAAAGCAAATTAGCAAGCACAATATTGCAGCATGTAAAGAAATCACCTCGGAGATCGGCAAATCCATTCACGCTACATTACCTGGGGTGCCAAAGCCGGTGCTAAACGAGCACGGAATCTCAGACAACTCCCATTCCCGAACCCGTCGCGACCTTACAAACCCTCGGAGCTTTTCATCCCTTATTTGCGAGCTCACTGAGCGCACTGAAATCCAATCTATCCAACTGAAGGAGAACAAACAGTTGATCGAAGCAAGGGATGAACAGATCGCAACCCTTCGTCTGCAATGCGAGGATCGCGGGAGAGAGATAGCAGAATTCAAACGCCGAATTGCAGCGGCACGTGTAAAGCTTGGTGATTTTCAGAGGTCCACATCCACCTTTCAAGAACAA